GTCTTGCTTCTGCCATGGCTGCCAGGCGCGGATGGCGTACTCAGAATGAGGCCGAATGTAGGCGTTCAGCACCTGCGAAAAGATGGAAGGATCAAAGCGCCCGAATGCCCTCCGTAAAAGACCAATGTGTTGGTTAGCTCTTTTGGAGGCTTTCTCGGCCTGAGGGGAACAGCCCAGATCTTCCTGCACTGCCACTCCTAGATCGCATTCCGTTGTAGTGCGCTGCAATATTTGATCCCCCAGTCTGTATTCGCAAGTGGCTTTATGGCGTATGCTCAACACCTTGCACTTTTGTAGCGTTGAACTGAAGCAGGTTCTGAGTCGACCATTCGTAGACCCTGTCCAGATCATCCTGAAGTGCTGCATTGTCGCTGGTTGTTCTAATGGCTCGCCATTTCTTGAGATCATCAGCGAAGAGTAAGGAGTTGGAGGTGATTACTGTCGCGAGATCGTTTATGTACATCAGGAATAGTCGTGGACCAAGCGCTGAGCCCTGGGGCACTCTGCACTTAACGTCGATTGGGTCAGAGATGACGCCGCGAACTCTTACATTTAGATGTCGTTGAAGCAAGAAGTTACCTATCCAACCGAGGATTGGGTCACCAATTCCACAACACTGCAGCTTGTGAAGGAGGATACGGTGGTTCAGACTGTCGAAAGCCGTTGAGAAGTCCAGATATACTGCGTCAACACATACCCCGCTGTCAACGGTCTCAGTCCAACTGGATCTGGCAAGCAGCTAGGTTGAAGTGCAAGATCGGTTCTTGCGAAATTCATGTTGTTCTTGTGCTATGATATTTCGTTCTTCCAAGTAGTTCATCAGAGTTTCGGCAACAATCGCTTCCATGATTTTGGAGAGCACCGGAAGTAGTGTTATCGGGAGATAGTTGGCCGGATTCGTACGAATTCCCCCTTATGGATGGGAGTGACGATGCCTTGCTTCCACATTGTTGGCACGCGCATCTCATCGAGGCATCGTTGAAAGAACTTGGAGAGTGAGTCCAACAAGTTTACTGCAGACAATTTCAAAGCTTTTGGACGAATATTGTCAATACCTGGAGTGTTATGCTCGCACAGGGCAATTAACATTTTGAAATAAATGAGAATATGCGTAGCTCGGGTGTGGATGCGAACCAGGCCCCTGAAACCGCACTGATGATGTTGCCTAGTCAGGCAACGAAACGTGTGCACAATAATCACTCAGCTCGGAGAACCGCTCAAAATCCGCAATTAGCCTTTGCATAACATCCGCAGTCGTAAACGTGATGTGACTAAGTCATGATGGTGGTACAACGTGCGGGAACTGTGTTTGCGGCGATGTCGTTCTCTGGAAGTTCGGGGCGAATTGTTGACATAGGGCGTTGGCCGCCTCGGTTGTGTTTTGTGCAAGTCCACACAATGTGTGTAAAGCAGGAATTCCTCGCTGTACTTTGCGGAGCTTGTTAACGTGTCTGTAAAGGAGCTTGGGGTTTGAAAGGGACTTATAGGCTAGATTCTGTTGGTGCTGTATTCGCCTACCAGGTTTATGCAGTGATTCCTTTGGATAGTGTAGGCTTCCCATGTTTCAGCACTCGATGACTCCCTGTATCTTCGCCAGAGTAAATTCCTCGTGATGATACACCTGCGTGTCCTGCTGCGTATGAATGATTTTACTGTCTTCGCTCGCGAAGGTCTTTTCCTAGAGGCACTAGTTACTAACGTGTTGAACTGGTGAGCAAACTCAGACCAGGCGACATCGGGGGATCGTTCTGCTAGAAATGCCCAGTTTGTAGCATTTATAAGTTTGATTAGAGCGCCGTAATCCTCGGTGTTTTCTGAGAAATACTCTGCATAACAGATGTAACTGAACATGAGGGTTGCATGGTCGCTACGGCCTAAAGGACTCTATCGATACTGTTTCGATCATAATCTCTTCATTGGTGAATACAAGATCCAGGATACCCGGTTTGTTTCCCGTTCTGAATCTTGCGGGGGATGTGATGTGATTGTAGAGTGGTAGTCCACTAATTATCTCCTGTACTTCCATTTTAAAGCGTTCGTTGATACGGGCTGGGGTTTCTATGGTATGAATATTGAAGTCACCAACAAGGAGAATGAGGATGTACAACTGCGTGAGAATGCTCTTCATTGTGAAGGCTAGGCGGTTGTCCATTTCCAAAGTAGCCGGCGGAGGACGGTACACCACACCCAGCAAACATGCGTCCCCACGGCTTAGGTGAAGATGACACCAAAGCGCATCGACAATCTGAACCTCTGGGTCATCGATGAGATCAATGTGCAGTTCGCTACGATCATGAAGTAGTACTCCACCTCGTCTACTTGGTCGATCCTTGCGTAGAATAGACATCCAAGGTAGTGCGATTTCTGCATCACTGATCGCTTCATTCAACCAAGTCTCGGTTTTCATAACGATGTCCCTTGACATCGAGGCCTGACGCAGGTGAAGCTTCGTCAGTTTGCTTAAAAGACCTTGTGCGTTGGTATAAAAACAGGAGAGTGATTCATAGGTTAGAAGGTTATTTGTGGATGTAGACAACAGGTTTGAAACTTGGCCGACCCTCTTGAGGTCGGCTGCTACTAGTTTTTTGGAATTGTCTTAGGCTCGCGAGAATGACTTGGAATAACTATCTGCACCGTGTGATCAGACGCATGATTATCCTGATGGTCACTCACCTCCTGCAGTGTCTCGCCGGATGCTATGACGGCAGTCAGATCAGTCTCTGTGGTGGACTCTGCAACAACAGTTGTTCCTACTGAGTTGGTTCTCTCCTTGGAGTAACCAGCAGGCTCTGGTCGTAAAGTTGCTGCTTTTACTCGAATTTCTGCTGATAGCATGTACCGGAATTTACACCAGTTCTCTAGAACTGTCTGTAAAGTTAGCTCAGACGGTAAGACCAACTTCAGCAACGTAGGACCACACCCTTTGTATTTTGGTGACACGGGAATCCTGGTCAGGAAGGTAGCAATAACATTTTCTAAAGACAGCGCCTCACTTATGTGTCGCCATTGCTCCAGATCATGTGCCTGAGCTTCTTCAGGAGATGAAGCTTGAGCTGCAGGAACGCCATGAATAATTACGGTTTCCAGCTCGTATTATCTACTTCCCTGTTGATTGTTCATATCCTTTGAACCTGGTAAGATACGTAGTCCGTTCGATGCTCTGTGGTGTCGATTTGCAGCGAGTAGAATGGATTCCGTTTCTTCCGCAGAATGTAGCGTTACTCGAAGTAGTCGAGGTTCACCATAGTGTAAGGTGTTTGGGTGTCGTGTGATGCGGCCCAGCGTAGTGAGTTCAGCGCGCATACTGATAGCACTACAGATGGAATCCCACTGAATACGATCGTCTATGAGTTTGCCCCTTATGATGTTGGAGTTGGATTCAGGAACGTTAGTGCACACAAGACTTAAGGCACCATGATTCCGCCTTGCGGTTTACGACTTAACAGCACTAGGTACTTTTGCTTTTTGTGGACTTGTGAACCGCACTGGCGATAGCGATCCATGTTGAGGCACGGTTTTGACCTTTGCGGTAAGCGGAGTCACAGGTGTCTTTGACGGCGTTTTCCTAGAAGCAACCGCTACGTAGGATGTCCAGTTATTTTTTACCGTAGTCTTGCTGGAGTTTTGTGTGTCGAGTATGTCAACTGAATTACTAGTTATTACATCCTTGGAGGATGTTGAAGTAAGTGGGCTGTAAACGACTTTTTCGCTTAGTGGAGTCATGAGGCTAGGGGCCGTTGGAGACTGAGACGCGACGGTGAGGTTGGGACGCCTGGCCCTCTTCCTCCGCCTAAACGGGGAG